TTTTAACAACGAGCGTGTCACTATCAATCGCATTAACTTCAACCTTCTAACTTAACTCAGATATTACATCTAACTTGGTCCTCTAGACCAGGTAACATACTCCTCGTAGTCGAACTCAAATTTAAATAGGACCACTAGGTTCGGAGCAAGAACCATCTTACTAGTCATTACCGAAACAATGGTGATGACATACCAGAATAAAATGGAATCAATCACCAGCTTCTTGGTAACCTTGTGACTTTCCATGATCCAAGTGCGAGTCCTGTGCTTCCGGTAGTATATGCATCTACTAACTTCACACCTACTCATACTCGTCCCAAGTATTGTCCCGCAGTCGACCAAGTCACCATACAAGAAAATCACAAAACAATTTAACACTGACGAATGTGTCCAAATAATCATAAACAATTTCCCTAGACTCTACTAGGACTTCTTCATTTCTCAATCTTCAATCATCAACTCTACTTCAACTCGATTGGTTATGAAAATATCAGACGATGAAACAACTTCAAGAATTTCATCAATCGTTCCATCATCCTGCCAATCGAAGGTGTACCTCAGACATACGGTACTCCTCTAAACGTAGTGTTATTTTATAAGACTTTCTAAAGGCAAGATACCACTCCTACTATATCTTCCGATAGGTGTCATTCACTATCATAAGCCTTTTCATTTCTTCCATTTACTCAATTCCCTATGTGTCTTCACCGTGACCTTTCGTACACCCAACCAGACATTCGATGTACCAAGCGAGAATTTATGATAAGAAAGCTTTAATTACGATAAACGTATAAATCTCCTTATCACCCCGAAACGTTTACATGCTAGTTCTAATATCGTAGTCGTACGCTTAGAATCCTAAACACATAAGGTCTCCAGATCCGATCGGCAATAGACCATAGCTGAAAAAATAGTAGCATCAATATAGCTATCACACAAAACATTTAGCACATAAAAGCATTTTAGGCATCATTCCTAAAATAAACTAGTGCTTGTGTCAATTTAGGTGTACTACCTAACATATTTTAGACACACTCCTCACAATCATTACTTAGCATTCTAAGTTTAAGTCTAGAAATTTCCTACAATTTCCTAGTTCGCTTAAACTAATGCTCTGATACCAACTGTGACATCCCCAATTTTACGGCCATAAAAGTCTAATTTGTTTATGCTTTGTTTTATAAAATCAGCGTAATCTTTTAAAGAAAACAGTTGCGGAATTTGTTCCCAAAACAAAATATGATAAAAATTATCAAAGCATTTCTTTAAAGAAATGTATTTTCATTATACAACAAAATCTTGGGATGTCATGTTCAATACAGACCAAAAGCATAAACAGAACAAAATAGACCTTATCGAATGAACACGTAATTCAAAAATATATAATCCGTACTCCCGGATATAAAATTAACCTCCTGATCTGATCCATACATCCAGATCTAAAACCAGTTTATCTCTTTATTCTTTTATCTCATGGTCCAACCCATATTTTATCACCTACCAACAATCTCATCTACTTATGTTCTACCCAACATATCTACTGTAATAAATAAAGGTTTTTTTTTGCCACATGTCTTCTTCTTATTCATTTGGACACATGGCATTTTCAAGAATTTTTAAATTTTTTATTTTCCACTTGTCATTTTATTATATTTTTTATTTTATTAAATTAAAATTCCACATTTAATGTGTAAAGTAATATATATGTAAAGTATTTATTAGAAAGGGTTTATATATGTAATGTATTCAATACATTAAAGTATCGTTAATTTTAATAATTCAAAATTTTTCTCATTTTTCTTATAAATTCAAAATGTTCAAATTGTTAAAAAATTTTATATTTATTTGTTTTTAATTAAACTCATGTAATACATGGGTCTCACACCTAGTTTTTAAATACAAAATACATATATAGTTTAACTCGTTAAAACTTATATAATTCATCCATTCCACAATCATCTCAAATAAACTTATATAATTCATCCATTCGGGATATTTCTTGCACGAAAAACGATGCAAAAACGCGAGAAGGGAAGAAATGTGCAAAGAAGTCGGTTGCCCTCGACACCCTTTTATAGGGGGCTGGAACACGAATTACGCTGAGCGTAATTCTAAGTTACGTTGGGCGTAATGGGGATAAGAACGCTGACTCCCCCCTCCCCCCTCCTCCGGATAATATCGAATTTATATTTAAATTAAATATCGAAAATAATTAATAAACTTCAAAAATTCTTATTTTTCTCATACGAACTCCGTTTTGGACGTTATTTATATGTCCGCGTAGGTGAGACTACGCTCTACAACATTCGTTTAGACTCCGTCGGCTAATTTTGAATTTATTTTTATTATTTATTTTTAGTAGGCCGGGACAGGAAAACTCCGTTATAAATTCATAACTTCTTCATCCGACGTCCGTTTTCGCCTATCTTTTTATCGTTTCACTACAATTAACGAGATATTCGATTCTCATTTAGATTGTTTCAGCTAAAAACCGCTCGATCTCAAATCGAGTATTCGGGCTGCATACCGTTAAGTCAAAACTTAGAAAAATCATAACTCCTCATATGAAGTAAGATTTGGACATTCTTTTTATGCACTCTCATGGTTTAATGAATTCTACGACTTTCATTTAGATTGCTAAGGCTAAATATCACTCTAACGTAAATTCACGTTTTACGTCATTCTGCGTCGTGTCGGTTCTGTTGCGAAACTTCGACATGTCATAACTTCTTCGTTATAATTCGGATTTCGGCGTTCTTTATATGCACGGAAACCTTGTAACATATAATATAACGTAGTTAAGATTATTCATTCTAAATAATCTTTCATCAAAAATTCATTTTTTGACGCCTATCGTCTCTAAATTGACTAGCCCTGATCTACGGGCGTTACAGTTTAGCTAACCTTTGAAGTGAGACCTGGACAATTGTTAGGGTGGAATGGATTTAAGCCATTCATATGCATCATTGGTCAATTTCTTCAGTTCCTCCATTGTAAGATTGAATTGTTGTACAGTTGATGTTGTTGCACATTTCCAAAGACAATCTTTAAACTCCTTGCCCATCCACTTCCACTTCATATTCTCATGGATATGTCGAAGGAAAAATCTATTTTCTGCACATGGAAACAATTTTGCAATTGCAGGAAAAACATCCTACAACATAGACACAATCAATTTTATATAATTAGTACAAATAATATAAAGGTTAAGTAGTTACACTGTGTATACTATTACCTTCTGCCTATCAGTTATAAATGTGAAGTTTGAATTGGTAGTCAAATCCAAATCATCACCTAGATTTCTTAGAAACTATGGCCATGAGTTATAGTTCTCAGAATCTACAACACCATATGCCACTAGGTAAGTGCAGTTGTTTCCATCTAATCCCTATAATAGTAAGAACAAATTGGGTCAACATCTATAATTCATATGTAAGATTAATTAGTTAATCTATGTATAAAATTACTTACCACTGCAATTAGAATCATACCAGGGTAGGGACTGTTTATGAATGCACCATCCAGTCCAAGAAAGTCCCTTTTCCCTACTGCAAATCCTTGTTTTAGTGGACCAAGACATATATATATATATATATATATATATATATATATATATATATATATATATATATATGTCTAAAAATCCTAGTATCTGATGAAGGGTTAGAAGAATTATCCACTTGAAGCTTGACTGTTGTGTTTGGGTTTCGACTTTGATCCTCGAGTAGATAGTCCCTCAATATAGAATATTGACCCCCAAAATCACCCCTACTAGTTTCTAGGGCTTTTGCTTTTTCCCTAAACACTTTCATGTCCAACATCTGAATTTGGTATTTCCTCTCTAGTTTCTCCTTTAAAGCCCTAATTGGTATTTCTGGGTTAGACTCCAACTGCTCAAGAATTTGTTTAGAAAGAAACTTGTAATTACAAGATTTGATTTTTCTTGTTTGGAGACATTTATGCTCCTTTTCATACGTTTTCAACGTCCAATCATCATCCTTTTGCACTTACTTACTAAAAGTTTCCAAGGGCACTTATTGCTTTCATCTACTTTCACTGCACTTTTATTTTTAATTGGTCCTCCTTTTTCGCCCGTTTGACTGGGTCCACCATTTATGTTCCTTTGACTTGGCCCCACCTTTCCCACTAGTTTTACTTGGTCCACCTTTCCCAAAAGTCTCAAGTATCCCCATATCTGGTATTGCTCCTTAATATACTACCCTATCCCTATTTTTATCATTCTTGACAATATCCAATTCTATTATTGTCTTTATTGCATGCAAGTAAATTATGTCTTTTTCTTCCTAAGAACTTGAGAATCTTTGCAGTATGTAGAAAGGGTCACTCACTTCAGCTGCATCATTTATCTATGCCCTTTCAGCAGACCGGATTTTATTTCTTCTTTTACTCATTTGCCCTTCATCAGATAATGACTCGGATTACAGAACATCAGTGTTGATCACCTCCATCTCCTCATCAAACATTACTACATTCTCTATTGTAATAGGGGCATCACCAACCTACTCCAAATTATCATCAATGTTGCGGTATAAATCATGCATATCCACCTCAGGATCATCCAACAAGTTATCCTCATCCACAATGAAATCACTATCATCACTATCACTTGAATCTCCACTACCCTCACTATCACTAGATCCATCTAGGGGTTCACTAAAGCATTCCATAATAGGGGGTTCCATGTTTGGTTCTTTCACAGATTCAACTTCAATATGGATTCTTCTCTGGGGGTTGAAACATGTACAACATCAATATGACTAGGGGATTCCATGTTAGGTTCCATTGTAGCGTTTTGCATGCTTGGTTCTAAAACATGGGGTTCAACTGTGGTTGTGTCAATCCATTTGAGACACAACCTTCTAGAACAAGAAGGGGGGTTGAAAAATCTCTTCAATCCTGAGTTTTGAACGGTTAGGTGATATAGAATATGTATGCAAGTTGGTACGCCAAAATTCTATATACACTTCTATAAGCTTGTGTTAAGCAGTGTAGGACCTTAAGTGGTTGACATCTTGATCACTACCCAATGCAAACAACCCAAAATCTAAATCCCCTGACGGTTGTTTAAAGTGATAATACATAAGCTTACCTTCTTCAACATATCCCAACTCCTCCATCATATCATCAATATTGCAAACAGAGAACAAATCACTGTCGATCAAGTCCACAAAATTGTGTTGTCCCTTCATGTATTTTATCCCAGGAAATTTGGTAAACTCTTTTCCATAGTGCAAGCGTATACTAAAAACAGTTGGATTCCCACCTATACAAGAAAAAGAAATATTTTCAAAATCAGAGACAAAATGATTAAGAACAGAGCATAAAATGGTTGGCATTCTATACTGTAACTTGCTTCCAAATCGATTTCATTCATCTGTGGTCGTATTCGCCACTCACTCATGTTCACTCTTGACGCAAAACTAGGGTTTTTGTGAGAGGAGAAAAGTTTTGATCGGGGACTGGGTCTGCAACGAGTGGGGTTTTGATCGGGGACTGAGCGTGTAGTATTTAAATACATGAGAGACGGTTCGAGTTAATTTTCAAAAATAGGTACTGAACGTGCAATTTGGCACTTGGACCAGGGATGATTCGCGTAATTTACTCAAAATTAATTTTGAATTTGTTTTTAACTTTTTATTTATTTATTATTTTTTCAAAAACGTATAAAATCCAAACTAGGGATGAGATTTAGAACCGGAAAATCGGGCCGAAACTGGAATCGAACCGAAACCGGAACCGTTAGAACCGTAATATGTAAAATCGATACGGGTCCTGGGTTTAAAAAATGGTTCTATCCGGGCTCCCGGTAATCCGAGTTTCGGGTCCTTCGGGTTCGGGTAAACCGGGTTTAAGAACCGCAACCGGTTTTAGATGCCGAAACCAGTTTCTATGAAATGTTTAAAACATGCATATCTCATTCGTTTGAAGTCGGATTGGCATGAGGTTTTTTCTAGGGTGTAGTTTATATTATGTTCATGGTTTTAGACTATAATTTTGTCATTTTTGGTGTAACATCCGGAATTTCAGGTATTATATTTATTCTTTTTATTTTGAGTTTTGAAGGTGAACTCGACAAGTTGGTGCGTAGACTCGCCGAGTAGAGACGCGATTTGTCATCCGGATTAATGACCGGACTCGACGAGTCACATTGGTGGACTCGACGAGTCAGCGCTGTTTAATGAAACCCTAATTTCTCGGGTTTGGGGCCTATTTAAAGGGCCTTATGGTCGTCATTTGTACTCACCAGCCCGCATAGCGAAACCCTAGTGCATTTGAGCGTGTGGAGTGAGAGAAGGAGCCATTATCAACCATAGAGGTGTTGTTTAGCAAGGGAAAGGAAGTTTTAGCCAAGAGGAAGCAAGAGGAACAACTTCCTGAAGATTTGAGGTCCAGAACATCACATTTGAGGTACCATTTTCGAACCCTTTTCTGTTGAGATGATGTTCATGTTGATTTAGGGTTTATTGAGCCCTTTTGTGGCTAGATCTAGTGCCCATTTGGTCCCTTAAGCGAGCTAGGTTCTGGATCTGGACCCTTGGAGGTCCAGAGTGTCCCTTTGTCCAAGCTTTTTATGAATCCATGGAGGTTGTGGTTTGGGATCTTTGTGTTTGAGGTCAAAACAACATTTATGAGTCATTAGGTGCGATATGAGCGCTAAGACATGAACTTTACGTGATAAATAAGCTTGGAAGGACTGGATCTATGAGTTAGTGGAACAAATCTCACCTCAGAAGGTCGTTTGGGGTTGTGCATGGAATGCACTCGCCGAGTCCTTTGGCAGACTCGACGAGTTGGTGCGGGTTGTTCATAGATTTAGGACCAGGGGTTGAGTAACCGAGTTGGGTGAGTGACTCGGTGAGTCGGAAGGGACTCAGAGGAAGTGGGGTCCTCGTAGGGACTCGGCGAGTCCACGCTAGACTCGGCAAGTTGGGGTTGACCATTGACCATTGACCAGAGGTGACCAGTGTAGACTTGATAGAGTTAGTCAAGCTTAGTTGGGAAAGTGTTAATTAGAGATGTATTGTGTTATAGGAGGACTATAGCTCGGGAGATCGAGCACTAGTGATTTCAAGGATTTACGAGTTACCGAGAAACGCGAGGTGAGTCTTCTTTTTATACTTTACCTTAAGTAGGTAAATAGAGTTATGTGATACAGTGCTTTATATATATTGTTTGTTGTACTGCATTCTTCTATGTGATTTATGCTGTGCATGCTTGCAGAGTTAGAACCTGAGGGTTCACAGAGTTTGGGTGCACGGACCCATAGAGTTATAGCCTCGAGTGGCTAATATGTGTTATATGTGGTATTTTGGGGAACTCGCTAAGCTTTGTGCTTACAGTGTTTTGTGTTATGTGTTTCAGGTACTAGTGAGGATCGTGGGAAGGCGCCGGCTTGATCAGTACACACACGAGATTTTTATGATACGAGATCTTGGGATATTGTTATATGTTATACGTTGGGTTTCAATCAATGATTTTTTTTATGATTTACAAATGAATTATGTTTTTATAAATGCGAAAAATTGTTTTGGAAATTTATGGTGTTACAAGTTGGTATCAGAGCCTTGGTTTGAGGGATTCGGGTACACCTTCGGGAGTATTTGAACTCAAACTGAGGATTTGGAAAATATTTTCAAAAGAGAACCAAAGTTTCTAAAAGTAGTAAAAGATTTTTAGAGAAACACAGAGCAGAAACGTGTGTACGATCAGTCAGCGCCCGAACGGTGATTTCCCAAAATACCCTTATGTTATATGTTTATGAGATTGATATGATGTATTCTCTTGCTAGAGTGGGCTAGGTATTCCTATTAGGACTAGAGTACCCTGATTTGTGATGCCTTAGCCTAGGGAGAGGTGAGCTGCTATGAGATGCTTGAGAGTGAATAGGTAGCAGCGAGGAGCTTATGAGAGATTTGTTAGAGAGTGGATTATACATAGTAGAGTACTTGGGATTTGGGATCCGAAAAGGAGGACTTGGGGTGTATACTGATACGGTGCGGACAGTAGTATTGGGCCCGTACTACTGAAAACACCGGGTCGGTGTACAGTCCAAGTAAGAATCTTTGGGATGCCAGGGATCAAGGAGGGATGAGTTATCGAGTGCGAGTATACTCGAGTGAATTTCTAATATATCGTATGTTGTATTTCAGAGGAAGATTATGGTGAGGACACATCTTATGCCAGAGAGCAGTGGGGCTAGCGATGAGGGGATCCGCCGGATCATCCATGAGGAAGTGGCTGCGGCCATCAGGGCAGAGATACCAGAGATGTTTGGGTCTATTAAGACCACGTTGATTGAGACTTTTGACGAGTGTTATGCTACTATTTCTGAGGCTGTTGTTGCAGCGGCCACTGCAGGTGTTGCTACTGCGAGGCCGCAGGGTGGTGATGCGTTGCTGTCCCGAGAGTTCAGCAACACGAAGCCACCAGAGTTTGATAGGATGCAGGATCCGATTGCGGCGATGAGATGGGTGTCTGATATTGAGGGTTGCTTCTACACATGCTCGTGCCCGGAGCACTTGACGGTTCGATTTGCGCTGAACCAGCTTCGCCTGGGGGCGAAGGACTGGTGGAAGTTCACAACAGCACACTATTCTCTAGTAGAGCTTGCTGCGGTGAGCTGGGAGAGGTTCACCACCATGTTTCATGATGAGTACGTTCCTCCGGTGGAAAGGGATCGGTTGGCATAGGAGTTTTTGACCCTCAAGCAGGGTACAGAGTCCGTTACGGTTATCACCAGGATGTTTCATGAGAGGGTGATGTTCTTCCCTAAGCACATGTCATTTGAGCAGGCACGTATGAGCCGTTATTTGAGTATTTTGCGGAGGGATATTCGGGATTTCTTGGCGAACTCCTCGTACCGTACATTTGCCGAGCTTCAAGCAAATGCACGGAAGAGGGAGATCGAGCTAGAGACTCAGGCGAGGGAGGAGGCGGAGTCTCAGGGGAGAGATCAGCGACCGGCACAGTCTTAGCCGGCAGTCAAGCGGGCCAAGCCCGTTGATCCCAGAGCAGCGAGCCAGAAGGGCCGCACTTGTGGGAAGTGTGGAAAGGGTCATGATGGAGTTTGTAGAGCTGGATCTTTCTACAAGTGTGGCAAGGAGGGGCATATGGCCAAGGACTGCCCCAAGGGGTTTGCAGTGTGTTTCCACTGTAATCAGACCGAACACCGGAAGGCAGAGTGTCCGCAGTTGCAGGGATCAGCTCAGGGAGCACCTCAGGGATCTTCCCCTGCCACCATCAGAGCTACCGAGAGTCAGCCAGTGAAGGCTGAGGCGCTGAAAGCACGAGGGAGAGCCTTCCAGTTGATCGCGGAGGAGGTCCGCGCAGCACCCGACGTGGCTGGTATGTATTCTTTCATGTAACTACTTAATGTTTAAGATTTTATGCTTATATTATGATATACGTAGGTACTTTTCTTGTGAATTCTGTACCTACTTTGGTGTTATTTGGCTCGGGTGCGAGTCGATCTTTTGTATCGTTGGCTTTCAGTTGACACATCAGCATTAGTCGAGAGGCGTTGAGTCGACCTTTGAGAGTTTCCATCGTCGACGAGAGAGCAGTATATGCCACGGAGGTGATTCGAGGATGTGTACTCGAAATTTTCGGTGTAGAGTTTCCTATAGATTTGGTCCCGATTGTGATGGGGGACGTCTGTGTCATTGTAGACATGGATTGGTTGAGCAGATTTGGAGCAGTTATTGATTGCGAGCGACAGCTGGTGACTATACGAGACCCTAGCGGGGGAGTTCTTACGGTGTAAGGCAAGGGTACACGTTCTGGGTCAGCGTTTTGTTCGGCCGCTAGAGCGAGGCAGTGTCTACAGCAGGGCTGTAAGGGATTTGTGGCATACGTAATGGATACGTGGGTTGATTCAGAGAGGCCGAGGTCAGTTGAGGAGGTTCCGATAGTGTGTGAGTTCCCGAATGTATTTCCAGAGGAGTTGCTAGGTGTGCCTCCCGTGAGGCAAGTAGAGTTCAATATCGGTTTGGTTCCCGGGGCCGTGCCTATCGCCAAGGTGCCTTATCGCCTTGCACCTCCAGAGATGCAAGAGTTATCCTCGCAGCTTCAGGAGCTGCTGGGAAAGGGATTTATTCGGCGGAGCAGCTCGTCGTGGGGAGCACCTATCCTCTTTGTCAAGAAGAAGGATGGTTCACACCGGATGTGCATTGATTACCGGGAGTTGAACAAGCTGACGGTCAAGAACCGTTACCCGTTGCTGAGGATCGATGATTTGTTCGATCAGTTACAGGGAGCATCTTGGTTCTCCAAGATCGATTTGAGGTCTGGATATTATCAAGTAAGGGTGCGAGATGAGGACATCCAGAAGACAGTGTTCAGGACGCGTTATGGGCATTACGAGTTTGTGGTGATGCCTTTCGGGCTCACCAATGCACTGAC